TGCAATGAGAGGGGCCGCAACCCCCCATACTTAGAAGAGGAAATATTCTCAGCCCTGCGTAAGATGGGAGAGTGGTGGCATGCGAAAAGCAACGCTGGCCTAGAGGAACTGGATGCTGACAAATAGACACTGGGCGCTTTGCTTATGTGTGCTTGAGAAAGCAATGAAGTTTTCATGCAGAAGAAAAGAATGCATTGAGGCAGGTACAGCAAATATTTCTAAAAAAATAAATGTTCTTAATTAACTTACGAATACTTACAGGGGAAGTCATGCTTTCACCAAAAAGAAGCTTGAAGGACCCAAGCAAAACTCTGATTTGCTTAAACAGTGTTCTGGATTATTTTACTCATCCTTCTAGACCAGGGATTCCTGATATTTTTAGGTCATTGACCCCTTTGAGACTCTGGTGAAACCTATGGACCCTTCTCAGAAAAAAAAAAGTATTTTATTGCATATAATAAAGTATCTAGATAGGGACTGTATTGCAAAGAAAATCAATTATGCAAAAATGCAATGATCAAAATATTAAAAATAACATATGTAATTAGTAATATGGGTGCTTCTTTACTCACACATACAATAATTTTAAATAGTGAGATTTATTGTTTTGGAGTCTACAGGCCATAAATTACTTTGTTGCCTGTATTCATTATTAAATGAAAAGCTAAATTTCAGTGTGAAGTTAGTGAAAAGAAGTTATTGTTTTTTTTGCCCATCCAAGTTCCTGGACCCCCTGAAATCTATCCATGGACCCCCAAGGGTGCTTAAGGGTATGATTTGTCAGCATCCAGTTCTTCTGCATGATTATTAAGCACGTGTGCATACAACACGCACACACACACGCAAGACCCCAAGCATTTTATCCAGGAGCAAGTAAATGAGGACTGGGGAACATGCTTCCACATATACAGGCTTAGCAGAGATAGCGAAGGGCCCAGTGTAAAAGATGTCCCCAGCATGTCTGAAACAAAGGATCCAAGTTCTTGCACTACCTTCCTTGGAGTCACCTGGCAAAGATTAGCCCTAGAATCCTAAAGAAAGGGGGGAAGTCTGCAAATGCAATCACACAAACAGACAAAATC